TCTTTCTTTGTCTCTTTCTCTGCCTCCTTCTCTGTCTCCTCCTCTGCCTCCTTCTCTGTCTCCTTCTCTGTCTCTGTCTCTGTCTCCTTCTTTGTATGTCTCCTTCTCTGTCTCCTTCTCTTTCTCCTTCTCTGTACATGCACTTGTCTCTGTCTGTCTCCCTTTTTCTGTCTCCTTGTTGGCTCCTCTCTTCATTTCTTTGGCTTTGCTTCTCTAAACCCTAAACCCTAAACCCTAAGCCGTAGTCTTTAGCAGCCTCTCGCTTCACTGTGTCTCTCATGGTGTACAGCCTGTCTCCTGTCTCCTCTTTGTCTCGTTGGTGTCTCCTTCTTGAGGTTCTTTATCCCTGTCTTCAAGAAAGCCTTAAACCCTAAACCCTAAACCCTGAACCCTCGTTTTGTGTCTTCTAAGTTGTGTGCATTGCTTTGCAGGAGCTTTTATAGAGTCTTTGGGGCTTGTATTAGATTTGCTGTATGTCCCTGCTGTGGGGTTAACTGCCTCCTCTACTTGCTTCAATGCCTCCGGCTCCTTCTCTAATTTATTGTCTCTTCAGCCATCAGAGCAGCAGCCCCCACCTGCAACAGCAACAGCACTGCTGCAGCGGGGCCGAAGCAACTACTCTCTTATTCAAAGGATATCTGTGGAGCGCTACGATGATTGGATCACGGGAGGAGACGATCCCACGGGAGACAACCCCACAGGAGGCGGAGGCGATCCCACGGGAGCCGATCCCAATGGAGGCGATCCCACAAGGGACCCAGCCAACGGGTTGCCGCTGGTGCATGTTGTGCTGCCTCGGTTTGACTCTCGCCTGAAAGCGCTTGTAGAGTATGATTCTGCTGCTGCTGCTGCTGCTGCGGGTGTCTCCTTTTCGGGTGTGGGGCCGACGCTGCTTATCTCTAATGCTGTCCCCTTTATAGCGGGGCTACGTGTAGGTGTAAACGTAGTTTCGCTGTATATAGGAGTTAATTTGCCTCTGGAGACAGGAGACAAAGCGCTGAAAGAAGCAATAGAAAGGGATTGTAAAGAGAGACAGTTGCTTTACTTCCAGCTTAGGGCCCCTGTTGTCTCTGCTCGCAGTATGCTGCTTCAGGTGTCTCACCAGCCCTTTGCTTACACAACATTTGCTGCACCATGTACACTTAAAACAGCTGCTGCGGGGCAGTGGCCTCCAGAGACCCCAGAGACATTTATTACACAAAGAGAGGCCTATGCTTTAGAGTCTGCGAGCCTCATTATGGAAGGAGGATATGCATAACTCTCTCCTGCTGCTGCTGCTGCTATTGCTGCTGCTGCTGCTGCTGTAAGAAAGCGGTAGCAGCAGCTGCTGCTCTTTGCTGCAGCAGCATATGAAATAAACCTGCTGCATGCATGCAGCAACGCAGTGTCTGTACAGTAGCTGCTGCAGCGCAGCAGCTACCGCAGACGAAAGGCTGCGTTTTTTAGTTTTCTAATATTATGCAGTTGTCCTCCTCCACTGCTTCTTATTTATCTCTTCTTGTTGTTTTTGTTGATTTAATTGTTGTTATTTCTCATAGGGGATCTAATATATATATATATATATATATATATATTATATACAATTGATAGAAAAAGAAGATATTGTTTTACTTACTTAGCCTCTCACTGGGTTATTATATACTACAAACAAATATAATTATATTTGTCTAGAAAAAGAATATATAAACGAAGTAAATTCATTACAAGGATTCTAAGCTAAAGGGCTTAATCTATATATATAAATATAAATATATATATATATATTATTCTATATATATATTTCTTAATTGTCTCTTGCTGCTGCTCTCTCAACTGAATGAAAGATATTACTGCAAATAGACAAGACAAAGGTATTGAAGTAAAACAAATGCATTAAAATATACAAATTATAATTATTTAAACAAAGTTTGTTTCTATGCTTTTATTGGGGATACCGTACACTCCCTGAAGGCCTAACTAATTCTTCTTCTATTTATCTATTTATAATAACACATCATAAAGCATTGTACATATATATACAAGACAGGCTGTCCTCACCATCCGCTGCTGCTGCTGCTGCTGCAGCTGTTGCTGTTGCTGCTGCTGCTGCAGTTGCTGCTGCTGCAGCTGCTGCAGTTGATGCTGCTGCTGCAGTTGCTGCTGCTGCTGCTGTTGATGCTGCTGCAGCAGCAGCATCATTAACTGGTCAGCGTGCCTTTTCAGAGGGGTTTAGTTAGTAATTCTCTTTCTGTCTCTTCTTTGTGTCTTGCAGCAGTACGGTGTTTCTTGTATGTTTTGTTGCTGCATTTGTTTGTCGTTGTCTGTTGTTGTTTATTCTTGTCTTCTTCTGATTGTTTGTCTCCTTTGTTCGTCTCTTCTTTTGTTTATTTGCACTTGCAGGAAGCTGCTTCCCCTTTAAGTTGGCTTGGGGTTTATTTATGTTTTTAGAAACATCTGCGGTGTCTGTCTCCTTGTCTCTGTCTCCTTCTCACTGTCTCCTCCTCTTTGTCTCAGCAGCAGCAGCAGGAGCAGCAGGGATACAAGCAAAAGTAATAGCTAGTACCTCGCAGCAGCAGCAGCAGCAGCAACAGCAATAGCAGCAGCAGGATATCAGCAGCAGTAGTACCAAGTAGCGTGCAGCAGCAGCAGCAGCAGCAGCAACAGCAGCAGGAACAGCAGCACAAAATTGAGTTGAAGAGATTAGATTGAAATTGCCTCAGCGAGTTGTTTGCGTGTGTCTTCGAGTGCCTGTGCAGCAGCAGTTTGCAGCTGCTGCAGCAGGACGGGGTCTAAGGGGGGCCCCTGCAGTTTGTGAAGCAACGGGGTGTCTCCTTCTTTAATTGATAGAAAATCAACAGTTGGGCCTAGCTGTCTCTCTTCTTCAGTAGGATCCAACACCCAAGTGCTTTCTAATACGTGACAGGCAGTTAAGGAGACAGGTAAAGCATTCAGCACTACTCTCTTACCCCTTACCACCCCACAGCTGCTGCTGCTGCTGCTGCTGCTGCTGCTGCTGCTGTTGCTGCTGCTGTTAGCAGCAGCAGCAGGAGAAGAAGGAGGAGGCAAGAAGGCCCACCACTTCCTTTGGGGGTCCCACTCTACATCAGGCAGACGGAGACAGCTAAGAGCAGCAACAGCAGCAAGAGCTGCAGCTCTAACTACACTTCCTCCCGATTGAATGCATGCAATGCGTATATCTATGTGCCAGTAGAACTTTATCTCTGCTTCATCATCGTTGCTGCTGCTGCTGCTGCTGTCGCTGCTGTCGATGCTGCTGTTGCTGCTGCTGTTGCTGTCGCTGTTTTTGCTGCTGGTGCTCTTACCAGCAGCAGCAGCAGCTGCTGCTGCTGCTTCTGCAGCTGCTGCTGCTGCATCTCCATTGAATTTGAGTTGAGAGCAGTTGAAGACATCAGGATTATTAAAGAGAGCTGTTAGGTGCCTAGACACCTCACGAGCTGTACCTAACGTGTCTTCTGAGGGGCAGCCGCATATGCGAGGCATCTCCACAGAAACTAAGACTTTGCCTCCCCAACGCTCATCATCATTGCTGCTGCTGCTGCTGCTGCTGCTGCTGCTGCTGCTGCTGCTGTTGCTGCTGCTGGGGGGAGGCAAGGGTACTGGGGGCCCGAGTTTGCATTCGACAGCAGCAAACCACCAGTCTGCCCCTGCTCGTACAGCAGCAGATGCATGTGCAGCAGCAAGAGGAGGCCCGACAGGGGTGTCTCCTGTGTCTCCTTTGCTGCAGCAAATAACTCTATCTAAACCTGCTGCATGCAATTCAAAGGGGCGTGCCTCCCAGAGTCTCCTGCCATCAGGCCTAACTCGTCGTTGAAGAAAAGGGGCAATGAAAGAGCGGGGACAGACACGGCGCAGCAAATCACAGTCACCCATTCTCCTGCTGCTGCTGCTGCTGCTGCTGCTGTTGCTGCTGATGATGCTCGTGCTGCTGATGGGCTGGCTCCTGCTGCTCTCGCTGCTGCTGCAATTGCTGCTAGTGCTGCAATCGTATCTGGTGACGCTGATGATCCTCAGAGAGGGAAAGGCTGCGGATTCTCGGGCGGTTGCTGCTTCTATTGCTGCTGCTGCTGCTGCCGCTGCTGCTATTGCCGCTGCTGCTGCTGCCTGCTATGTGGGGTTACACTCTAGTGTCTCCTCCGCGCCAATGAGGCAGATGCTGCTGCAGCTCCGTCTCCTTTGCTGCTATAGAGGCTGCTGCTGCTTCTGGGTGCGCTAGCCGCAGCCGCTTCTGCTACTGCTGCTGCTGTTGCTGCTGCTGCTGCTGTTGCTGCTGCTGCAGCGGGACTAGAGGCGTTCCTAGGGGCCCTTCTCGCCGTCGGTCTTCTATTTATTTTTAGCTAAATAAAAATAAAACAAATGTATTGCTGCTGCTGATTGGAAGACTTTGCTGCGCCTTCCTGCCCTACCGCATGCATGCAATGCATGCAGCAGCGCAGCAGCAGCAGCTGCTGTTGTTGCTGCAGACTTTGTAACAGCAACAACAATAGCAGCAACAGCAGCAGCTACTATTGCCGATATGCAGATACCATTGACGAGTTTATTTATGTATTTAATTTATTTATAATAATAATTTATAATAAAGAGCCGAGCTGAGCCCCTCGCTCTCTATGCAGGTTGAGACAGCTGCTGCTGCTACCAGCTCGAAGACACAAGAAACAGCAGCAGCAGCAGCTGCTGCTGCTGCTGCAGCAGCAAGAGCAGCACGAGGCGCAGCAGCTCTTGTCTCGCCAGCGCCTAAGGGGAATACACATTATCTCGGGGGCTGCTGATTGAAGTCCCTGCAGCAGCAGCAGCAGCAGCTGCTGCTGCTGCTGCATTCTGTTGTTGCTGCTGGACCTGTTGCTCCGTCTAGCTGCGGCGGGGAGTCCTCTGAAGATGCGGCGATCACAGGGAGGGAGCAGCAGCAGCAACTGCAACAGCAGCAGCAGCAGCAGCAGACGAGGGCCTCCTCAGCTGCTTAGCGGCACACTGTACGGAAGCAGCAGGTTCAATCCTTTGCTGCTAATATCGCAGCTGCTGCTGCTGCTGAGTTGCTTCTATTTGCTGCTGTGCCTCTTCTCTTTCTGTACTCTCACATACCTGCAGCGCCGCCAGCTGCTGGCTGCCTCTAACCCCCATCTCAACCTGCAGCAGCAGCAGCAGCAGCAGCAGCAGCAGCAGCAGAATGGCCGTTCCTTCCGGTTACCAGAGTCCGACGTAGGATCAACAGCAGCAGCAGCAGCAGCAGCAGGTCAGGTGCCTCAGGCTCGCCAAGTGTCTCTGCTGTTCAGCAGCGGCAGTCCCTCAACGCCAAAGGAGACAGCAGCAGCACTAGATGCTGCTCTTCTACTCACAGATCTCGCTCTGTGCGTCTTTGCTGCTGCTGCTGCTGCTTCTGCTGCTGTTATTGTTGCAAGTGCTGCAGAGAGAGTTTCTGTTGCAGTGTATGTACAGCTGTTGCTGCTGCTTGAAGTACAGCATTTAATCCTACGTTTGTTGCTGTTGCTGCTGCTGCTGCTGCTCTTTCTGCTGCTATTGCTGCTGCTGCTGCTGCTGCGTTAATGTTTAGGTCAGTGGTTTTATATTGGGTTGTTCGGCGGTCTCTGAAGGTGCCCGACTTCTGTGTCTCCTTGGGGCTGATGCATCTCCTTGCATGCACTCTCCTCTCGGGATTCCCTACACGCTGTCAGTCCTGCTGCTGCTGCTGCTGCTGCTGCTGCTTATGTTGCGGCTGCTGCACCTGGCTGTAGCGGTGCTGCTGCTGCTCTGCTGTTGCTGCTGCTGTTGCATGGAGGTCAGGGATGTTGAAGGAGTTTCTCGCATATACGCCTGCGCTGTTGCTGCTTGCTGTTCTGCTGTTGCTGTTGCTGCTGCTGCTGCTGTTGCTGCTGCAGCTGGGTTCTGGCTGTCTCTTTTGTGCAGCAAGTGGTTATGTGGGGCGCTGGCCGCTTGTCTCTGCCGCCGTGAGGAGTCTGAAGCAATTCTCTTTGGAGACAGCGAAGGAGACAGGAGACACTCAGAGGCGACGCATGTGTCTCCTCCTGCTGCAGCAGCAGCAGTTAAAGAAATCGAACTACAGCTGCAACACAGCAACCAACAGCAGCAGCAGCACGGCAAGCACCTGCAGCAGGAAGACCTGCTGCTGCTCGCCCCCACCTAATAACACATAACGTAAACCTAGCAGAAGCAATAGCCGTTACAACCCCGGCTGCTGCTGCTGCTGCTGTTGCTGTTGCTTCTTCTTCTCTTGTTGCTGCAGCAACAAGAGAAGCAAACGCAGCCGCACCGCAGCAGCAGCAACTCACGATGCTGCAGCAGCAGCAGCAGCCAAAAATACTTTACTGTGGGGAAAAAAACACAAGTCTTGTTGAGGCGCAGCTTTGCTAGCCTTCTAGAGCTGTACAGCAGCAGCAGCAGCTGCAGCGGCAACTTCCGCTGCTGCTGCTGCTGCTGAAGGAGTGTCGGTATTTCAGGCACGCTAAGCAGACTGCCGTTCGCACAACTGATGGACCCTCAAGACAGCCAGCTAGCTAGCTAGCCAGCTAGCTAGGCCCGTGGTTGCTAGCTAGCCAGCCAGCTAGCTAGCTAGCTACCTCCACATGCAGCCCAGTGTAAAGATAATCCCTACAGGTGGTGCGCATTTGCCGAGGCAGCTAGCTAGCTAGCTAGCTAGCTAGTCAAACAGGTAGCTAGCTAAAGAGTTGAGCTAGCTAGCTAGCTAGCTAGCCAACTGAGCTAGCTAGCTAGCTACGACTCTAGCTACTCCAGAAGCGGGTTATCTCCTTGCCAAAGAGAAGCTGCTGCAGCTGCTGCCTTGCGCATCTCGGTGTCTTTAGGGTTGGTGCTGCTACTACTGAGACAGTTGCTGCTGCAGCTGTTGTTTTTGTTGCTAGAGTTGCTGCTGTTGCTGCTGCTGCTGCAGCTCGGGCTAGCTGCCGAGTCCTCTGTGGCGGGGGCATCTTCTTCTTCGCCCTCCGAGGAGACTGCTGCTGCTGCTGCTGCTGCTGCTGCTGCTGTTGGATTGAGCGCGGGTTCTACTGGGGTGAGGCTGAGGAGGTGTTGCCTTTTGCTGCTGCGGTACTCAGCAGCAGCAGCAGCAGCGACGCTGCTGCGCGCCAGCAGCAGAATTGCTTCGCAGTGCAGCGTGTGGGGAAACATATCTAAAGGGACAGCTGCAACGGGAACGAAGGGATCGCTGCTGTCATCAGCAGACAGCCTTAAAAGGAGACAGACACCAGACACAGCAGCAAACAAACAGGAGACACTTATACACTCCAACGCACGCTCACACACCCCACAAGACACGTGAGGAGACACCAAGACACCCCACAAGAGACAGTTGAGGAGACACCCAGACACCCGACAAGAGACGGTTGAGGAGACACCCAGACACCCCACGAGAGACAGTTGAGGAGACACCCAGACACCCCACAAGAGACAGTTGAGGAGACACCCAGACACCCCACAAGACACGTGAGGAGACATCCAGACACCCCACAAGAGACAGTTGAGGAGACACCCAGACACCCCACAAGACAGTTGAGGAGACACCCAGACACCCCACAAGACACTTGAGGAGACACCCAGACACCCCACAAGAGACAGTTGAGGAGAAACCAAGACACCCCACAAGAGACAGTTGAGGAGACACCCAGACACCCCACAAGAGACACTGGAGAAGACAAACAAACACTAAACTCTAGCCACTTTAGCTACAACAGCAACAGCAACAGCAGCAGCAACAACAGCAGCAGCAACTTTGCATGCATGCATGAGCCTCACTCCAGGACGTTCTCTACTAATGTTTTGCAGTTGCAGGAGATGTAAATCAGCCTTCCTAAGAAATCCACAAAAGGCAGCAGCAGCAGCAGCAGCAACAGTCATATGAGCCTCCCATTGCTGCTGTACCGACACCAGCGACAGCAGCAGCAGCGACAGCAGCAGCAGCAACAACTGCAGCAACAGCTGCAGCAGCATCACAGCGGGAAATGATTATGTCCTATTCACTCTGCTGCAAGGGCTGCTGCTGCACTCACTCAGCTGCTTGCATTGCTTTAGAGCCTTCAGCACCTTCGAGTCTGTAGCAGCAACAGCAGCAGCAGCAACAACAGCAATATCAGCATGCAAAAGCATGAATGTGTACTGCTGGTGCACTAGCAACAGCCGCAGCGTCCTCTCTCGTGAGCCGTGCCACCGCAGCAGCAACAGCAGCAGAACCAACAGCCGTAGCAGCAGCAGCAGCAGCAGCAGAAGCGCACGAAGCCCCATCCGAGGAGGGTCCACAACAGCAGAGATATGCGTCTCTCCTGAAAACTGCTGCAGAAGATTTGGCAGCACATCCTCAGCCTTTCCTGCAGCAACAGCAGCAGCAGCAGCAGAAGCATACAACGAACATCCACTGGACAGTAGGCGCAGCAGAGCATGCAGCCGTCACAAGGCGACAGTAGCAACAGCAGCAGCAGCAGCAACAGCAGCAGCGAAAGCACCGTAACAGCAGCAGCAAAATCAGCAGCAACAGCAACCACAACAGCAGCAGCAACAGCAACCACAACAGCAGCAGCAACAGCAGCCGCAGCAGTAACAGCAGCAGCAGCAGCAGAAGCAGCTAACCCTCTATGAATTCTACATCGTTCTCCAGTCCGTTTAGCCTCGCATTACGCCGCGCGTCTTCTACTGCTGAGGGCACCACCTCAATGCCGATAACCCTTCTCCTGCTGCTGCTGCTGCTGCTGCTGCAGTTGCTGCTGCTGCTGCCTTCGCTGCTGCTGTTGCTGTTGCTATTGCTGTTGCTGTTGCTGTTGCTGTTGCCGTTGCTGCAGCTCCTGTTGCTGTTGCTACTATTGCTGTTGCTGTTGCTGTTGCTGCTGTTGCTGTTGTTGCTGTTGCTGTTGTTGCTGTTGCTGTTGCTGCTGTTGCTGCTGTTGCTTCCGCTGTCGGGAGCATCAGCAGCAGCAGCAGCAGCTTTCTTAATTGCTGCTGCCAGACAGAGCGTTATGGTGCCCGCGCCGCTGCAGATATCGAGGACAGGCCCAGAAGGCGGCAGCGGCAGCAGCAGCTGCAGCACAGCTTCATACATCACCTCGCATGCTGGGGTATTTGTCTGCATGCAAAGCGCAGCAGGAACAAACACGCAGCAGCAATTCAAACAGAAGCAGCAGCAACAGCAGCAGCAGCAAGAAACGGACCACAGCAGCAAAGGCTCTTGTGCTCTAACGCCAGATGAAGTCTAAAAGACACACTCTTCAAACCTCTGCAGCTGCAGCAACAGCAGCTGCAGCAGAAACTGCTGCAACAGCAGCTGCAGCAGCTGCTGCAGCAGTAGGAGGTGCCTATACACCGCACCTGGAAGAACGATGAGGGCCCCAAAAGGAAGCGGAGGCCGCAGAGCTTCTGCTCCAGTTCATCCGCGCCATATATCTGCATGCATGCAAGCAGCAGCAGCAGCAGCAGCAGCAGCAGCAATGTATGCATGCGGAGGGCAGCAGCAAGAACCGCTGCGCGAGCAGCAGCAAAAAGACTCACCTTTTGCATTGGGTGTCCCTCCATGGTGTCGGATACAGCCGAATTCTGCGCAGCAGCAAAAGACAGCAGCAAACACCCCTATGAACTGCAGCAACAGCAGCTGCAGCAGCAGCAGCAGCGACGGTGCAGCAGCAGCAGCAGCAACAGCAGCAGCATACTTCCTGCAAGAAGATGGAGGTGACTTTGTAGCGCCCAAAGGTCTTCCCAGCGAAGGCAGCAACAACACTCTGAATCAAAGCGCTGCGATTGTCTGCTGCGTCTTGCTGCTGCTGCTGCTGCTGCTGCTTCTGGTTTTGCTGCTGCTGCTGCTGCTGCTGCTGCTGGAAAGGGCTTATCTGCACCACCAGCATCATCGAGCGGGTCCAGGCCGATGTACGCACCATCAGCAAACGCCAAGTGCCTGCAGCACAGCAGCAGCAGCAGCAGCAGCAGCAGCAGCAACATAAGCAATAGGAGACACCTCAGCACTCAGAAGGCAAAGGTCATATAGTTATAACCAGAAAAGAGACAAAGACAAAAGGAGACAGCGACAGAGACAAAAGGAGACAAACAAAACAACAAACGAAGACAAAAGGAGACAAACAAAACAACAAACGAAGGCAAAAGGAGACAAACAAAACAACAAACGAAGACAAAAGGTGACAAACAAAACAACAAACGAAGACAAAAGGAGACAGAGAGACACCAAAGGAAACAGCAAAGAAAAACAGGAGGAGACAATGAGAGACAGAAAGAGACAAAGAGAGACCCTAAACCCTAAACCCTAAACCCTAAACCCTAAAGGGAGACAATAAAAGATAGAAAGAAACGAAATGAAATACAAAGAGACAGAAGAGAAAAGGAGACAAAGGGACAGAACAGGAGACAAAGCGGCAAAACACCCTAAACCCTAAACCCTAAACCCTAAACCCTAAACCCTCACCGGTATGCGTCCTCCGGTCATAGACAGCAAAAGGAGATGCCTTTACTAGCTTCTGCAGCAGCAAAGCCCAAACCCTAAACCCTAAACCCTAAACCCACAGGCTCTAGCCCTAAACCCTAATCCAAAGAGACTTAAACCCTAAACCCTCATCCTAAGACTCTATCCACAGTGGTGAAACCCTCAACCCTAATCTTGACAACCTAAACCCTAAACCCTAAACCCTAAACCCTAAACCCTAAACCCTAAACCCTGAATAAGGAGACAACCTTACCTCCATTGCATACGCTGCTTCCTGCATGCCATGGCTTAGCAGCAGCAAACCCGAAGGGGAAGCAACTTGGGGCTGCAGCCGCTGCACCCCACATACAAAGCCCACGCAAGGGCTCTCCTGCTGCTGCTGCTGCTGCTGCTGCTGCTGCTGTTCCAGCCCCTGCTGCTCCTGCTGCTGCTGCGCAATCCCTACAGTAAATTCACATTTGTTGCGATAGCCTATGCGCCCAGCCACGGGGGCAGGCAACGTCGGCAGCACCTAATAGACCACAAAGAAAAGGCAGCAGCAGCAGCAGCAGCAACAGCAGCAGCAGCGGAAGTCTCAGCATAAGAAAGAAGCTTCGGATGAGCAGCAGCTTGACCCAGCTCACGAAGTAGCAGCAGCAGCAGCAGCAGCACAAGCAGCGGCTGTGGCCGGAGCAACCGCGCCAGCAAGAAGAATAACGAAACACAGACACAAAATAAGCAGCAGCAGAAGCAGCAGGGGAAGAAGCAGCAGGAACAGCTGCAGTAAGAACAGCAGAGGCAGCAGCAGCAGCAGCAGCAGCATGCAGCAGAGCGGCTACACTGAGATTGATGCTGCTTACTTCACATCCAACCCATCGCTTCGCAACTTTAGGGGAGTGCCACGGCTGCTGCTGCTGCTGCTGCTGCTTCTTCTGCATCTGCTGCTGCGCCTTGCGTTCGTCAGCAGGCAACAACCTTAGATAGCGTTGATGTGCTGCTTTAGTCAGCTGCCTAATGCACGTCTGCAGACCCAGCAGCAGCAGAACCAGCAGCAGCACCACAGTGGCAGCAGCAGCGGCAGCAGCAGCAGCGGCGGCAGCAGCAGCAACAGCAAAGCGAGGAAGCAGAAGCAGCAAACACATGCCCATACAGCCCCACAACCAACAGCGCAGGGCATCGATAACTACTCCACCAAGCTCCCAGCAGAAGCAGCAGCAGCAGCAGCAACAGCAGCAACAGGACGCTAGTCTTACCTTTAGGTAGGTGTGCTTCATCTGCAGCTGATCATAGTAGGAGAAGCTGCAGCAACAAAAGCAGCAAAACGAAGCTGGGCAATCCTATGACGGTTCCTCATGCTGCTGCTCCTGTTGCTGCTGCTGCTGCTCCTTCTGTTGATGCTGCTGCTGCTCCTATTATTGCAAGTGCCTCACATCCCCTTGCTCCTCGCACTCAGCAGCAGCAGCAACCCTTCCAACAGCAGCAGCAGCGCACCCAGCCTCAGCACCCGGAGCGGCAGCAGCAACTGCAGCAGCAGTATCTAAAGCAGCAGCAGCAGCAGCAGCATACCCGTTTAGCGGGGCGACGCGGTGTTCTATGGAGGCTGCCTCAGTTAGGTGGGGTTTGTTGTTTATTAAGTGCAGCAAAGCCGGCAGCTGTCTCTGCTGCTGCGGGCAAAAATCTGATTCTGTAGTACCTGCCTTTGCTGCAGCAGTCCCAGCGTCATCTGCTGATCCTGCTGCTGCTGCTGCTGCTGCTGGTGCTTCTGCTGCTGCTGCTGCTGCTGCGGATTGGGGTTTGCTAGGCTGGGTCCGGGGCTTCTTTTGCACAGGCCCATCATGAGCATTTTCCGTTGGTTTACGCCGATCCCCCTTGTGCTGCTGCTGCTGCTGCTGCTGCTGCTGCTGCTGCTGTTGCTGCTGCTGCTGCTCTGTTGTTTCTCGGGCTCTGGCTTCATGCAGATATATCAGATTACCTCTAAAGGGCAGACGCTCTGTTGCCTTTTCAAATGCAGCCAGCTGTTCCCTACTCTCAAAGTCCCTGCAGCGCAGCAGCAGCAGCAGCAGCAGCAGCAGCAGCAGCAGAAAGATACGCACTTAGCAGCAGGACAGGGAGGCAGGCCCCTAGACAGAGCAGCAGCAGCAAACACGCTCAGCGGCAGCAACAGACTACTCCTCGCAACCAGCCTTAAGTCCCCACAAAACATTCGCTGCACCAGCAGCAGCAGCAAACGCAGCAGCAGTAGCAAACACAGCAGCAGCTGCAGCAGCAGCAGCAGCGGACGCCTCACAGGAAGCCCCAAGCGGCGGGAGGCACCTTATCCAGGGAAACAAAAGGGAGATTGTTGTCGCGCTGCAGCAGCAGAGACAACCAGAACAATTCAAAGATCTGCAGCAGCAGCAACAACAACAACAGCAGCAGCAACAGCAGCAGCAGCAGCAGGCTCACCATCCATTTTTCTATGACCTCGGCTTTATTTCGCCGCCAGCTTTTGCAAGTGGCGTGTCTCCTAAGGAGGCCATTCAGGTTTGCTGCATCAGTAGGTGAGGAAATAGTTGCTGCTGCAGAGTTAATGGGAGGCAGAAGCAGCAGCTGTACGTACACCTCAACAAGGCCTGGAAGAGCAGCAGCACATGTGCCTTGATGAAGTGCTGCTGCATGCGCAGGTTGCAGCAGCAAAACTTGGTGATCCCTAAAGATCTGCTGCTGCTGCTGCTGCAGCTGCTGCAGCAAGATCAGGTGTATGTACGGGCGCCGCACTATAACAGTCAAACAGCAGCACTCAAGAAACAAAATCTTTGCTGCTTTGCTTCGAATCAGCAGCAAAACCGTGATGTGGGTAAATTATGGGTGCTACTGTTGCTTGCTGCTGCTCCTGCTGTTGCTGCTGCTGCTGCTGCTGCTGCTTCAGGCGCATGCAGCCGTAGGGGCTTCCGCAGCAGCAGATGCTGCTGCACGGGAGAACGTGCAACAGCCCCAACTAAAATAAATAAAAGAAGATTTGTTTAGTATCCTGCACTTCAAATCTATAAAAATTAATTAAAAACAACTAAAGACAAACCCTGCGCTGCTGCTGCTGCTGCTGCTACTGCAACGCCAACCACCAACCCCACCGGAAGATCCTGCAGCAGCAGCAGCAGCAGCAGCAAAACGCCTAAAACAGCACATCATTAGCTGCATGCTATACGAGCTTGTCTGGGCTTTTTGAATTGCTGTTTAGCAGTAGCAGCAGCTTTTACCTTTGCTGCTGCTGTTGCTGCTGCCGCTGCTGCTGCTGTTGCAGGCGCATGCATCGCCGATTGTGGCTGTAACATTCTAGTCTTCAGCAGCAGATCCTACACCTGGAGCAGCAGCTGCTGCTGCTACCACTAGCTTTACACCTCCTTCCTGCTGTTTTAGCAGCAGCAACAACAACAACAGCATTAGCAGCATCAGCAGCTGCAGCACCAGCAGCAGCAGCAGCACCAGCAGCAGCCCCAGCAGCAGTATCAGCACCGACAGGACTTTCAACAGGAGAAGCCGTAGCAGCAGTAGGAGCAGCAGCAACGGCAGCATCCGCAGCAACGGCAGCAAGAGGTGTGCAGGGGTCTTCTATCTTTTTGTTTTATTTAAAGCTGCTGCAGCAGAAGCAACCGAAGAGACCGCATGCAGACTGCTGCTTCCCACTTTGCTGCTATTGCCGCAGCAACAACAGCGAGAGAAGCTGCTGCAGCGCCAGCAGCAACAGCAACAGCAAGAGTAGCAAGCAGTAACCGCAGCAGCAGCAGCAATAGCAGCAGCAGCAGCAACAGCAGCAGCAAGAGCAGCCATGAGAAGGACATGCAAGTTATATCAAGAGGCCGCTATACTCCTCTAGCGGCCCTTGAGTCCTGAGGTGTACAGACAGGTAGCAGCAGATGGCGCACAACAGGGGCAAGCAGCAGCAGCAGCTGCTGCTGCAGCAGCAGAGACGCAGTCGGCTTTGCTTACGTGGTCCAGGGCGTCTTACTATCGATGCCTGCGACTTGCTGCTGCTGCTGCTGCTGTTGCTGCTGTGCCTGTGTTGCTGCTGGGACTTGGCTGCAGCAGCATCACCTCGGAGATCGTTGCAGCAGATGCCGCTGCATGCACCGCCGCTTGCAAGCAACAGCAGCAGCAGCAGCAGCAGCAGGAACAGGAGCAGCAGTTGTGGCTTTCTTAGCAGTCAGCTTGAACGCTGTTCGTACACCCCAGCTACTGGGCGCACACAGGCCTCACCTGCTGCTGCTGCTCCTGCAGCTGCTGCTCCTGCTGCTGCTGCTGCTGCAGTGCAAAAAGGACGGCTGCCGTTCGGAGCTCGCTTGGCAGCTACGCAACAGGATGCAACTGAGGACAGCAGCAACAGCAGCAGCAGCAGCAGCAGCAGCAGCAAGACCAACAGCAGCAGTAATGAGGTCGGCAGCGCTCCATGCACTGATACACCTCCCGCTGGAAGCAGCAGCAATGGCAGCAGCAGCAGCAGCAGCGGCAGCAGCAAGAATTACACTGGCGTAGCGTTAGGTTACGACACCAGCACCAGCAGCAGCATCAGCAGCAGCAGCAGCAGCAAGCCGAGGAGGGGCCGCCAATCTCCTTTTGTCGCCCCGCAGCTGCAGCAGCAACAGCAGCAGGAAGCGCTGCAGCAGCATCAGCTGCAGCAAGCAATGATAAGCGGAAGCTTTATGCCGCCTTCATTTGGCGCATCTCCCTTTCACAGCAGCAGCATCCCGAGCAGCAGCAACAGCAGCAGCATCCTGAGCAGCAGCAGCAGCCGAGACCCCCTCAGCAGCAGCAGCAGCAGCAGCAGCAGCAGAGGGGGTGCGTTTGTATCGCACTACTGTAAGCTGTACAGCGCATCTGAGCTGCGGAGCTATTTGCTGCGGAAGGGTCTCTCCTTTGCTGAAGATGGTGATAAGTTTGTCGTGTCTCTCTGCCCTTTCTGTCCCCCTCACAAGAACAAAAGAGACAATTTAAATAAATTAATATTCTTCAAGAACTCAGGCAACTACTACTGCCACAGGTGCGGCAGCAAAGGCAGCCTCTTCAGCTTTAAAATGCGCACAGGGGACCTCAGCAGCAGCTGCAGCAGCAGCAGCAGCAGCAGCAGCAGCAACGGCTTCGGCGCTGGGTGGGGAGGGGAAGCTGCAGCAGGCGCTGCAGAACTGCAACAGCTGCAGCAGCTGCAGCAGCAACAGCAGCAGCAGGACGTCCTATTTCCTCTCCTCGCAGACGGTCCGGGGACAACGGCTACCTTCAACCGCTTGCAGCAGCAGCGCCAACTGCAGCAGCAGCAACTTGATACGTACGCAAAGAACCTCGCTGCTGCTGCTGCTGCTGCAGCTGCTGCTGATGCTGGCGACAGCAGCAGCAGCAGCAACATCGATGAGTGCCACATGCGAGTGCTGCGCTACTTGACGAAGCAACGAGGCCTAAAGGTTGAGACAGTGGGTTTCTGCTGCCTTCGCTGCTGCTGCTGATGCTGCTGCAACAGCGACTGCTACTGCTGCTGCTGCCCCTGGTCGCGCTCCTGCTGCTGGTTTGGCTGCCTCCGTCTGCTGCTCACCTGTGTTCCTACTACTTGTTTTGTTGCTGCTGTTCGTGGGGAGCCTTAGGTTGCTGCTGCTATTGCTGCTGCTGCTGCTGTGGCTGCTGCTGAATTTGCTGCTCTTTTTTGCTTTGTCTCCTTTCCCAGCTGCTGGAGTTTGGAGTTGGTTCAGGTGTTTTCTACTTCGCCCCTGCCACCGGTGAAGGCCCGTAAGTTTGCTGCTGCTCCTGCTGTTTCTGCTGCTGCTGCTGCTGCTGTTTCTGCTGCTGATGCTGCTTCTGCTGCTTGTACAAACTGCTGCAGCGGGTCTCGGGGTCTCCTGCCTTTTTCAGTCTCATCTGCTGCTGCATCAGCTTCTGTTGTTGCTGCTGCCTTTACTGCATGTTTCTCACTGCTGCTGCTTCTGTTGCTGCTACTGCTGCTGTTGCTGCTGCTGCTGCCTTGGTGGTTGCAGGATGTGATGTGGTGCAGCATGTAGAGGGTTTGCTGCTGATGTTTTTCTTGTTTTTCGCTGCTGCTGCATTTGCTGCTGCAGGAGGGAGCCGCACTGCTGCGTGACGTTTCCTTGGACTCCCGCTACGCACCCAGCAGCAGCAGCAGCACCGACCTCAGCAGCAGCAGCAGCAGCAGCACGCCCAATACCTGTGCGAGTGAAAATTCGCAGCATCGATGATAAGAGCTGCATGCGTCTCGAGCCCTTTGGGGCTGGCTCCTGGGGCCTCTTCGGTGCAGATGTTGTGCTGCGGCAGTTATGGAATAGCAGCAGCAGCAGCAGCAGCAGCAGAAGCAGCAGCAGCAGTCAGGGCCGCAGGAGCGCCAAAAGCATGGGCGATGCTACGGTTGCTGCTGCAGCGCCAGCAGCAGCAGCAGCACCAGGCACACAAACAGCAGCAGCAGCAGCCGCAGCAGCAGCAGGAAAGAATGAAGCAAAAGGAGACATAGTGTGCGTTGCTGAAGGCGAGTTCGACGCTATGTCTATCTGGCAGGAGACAGGTCTCCCAACTGTCTCCGTCCCCATAGGGGCCCACAGCCTTCCACCTCAGCTGCTGCCTTTCTTTGAACGCTTCAGATCTATCTACTTGGTATTGCTGCTGCTGCTGCTGCTGCTTCTGCTGCTGCCGCTGATGCTGCTTTTTCTACTGCTATTGCTGATGCTGCTTTTTCTGCTGCTGATGCAGCTGCTGCTGCTGCTGCGGTGATACTGTTGCTGATGCTGCTGCTGCTGATGCTGCTTCTGCTGCTGCTGAGGCTGCTTAGGTTGGGGGGCTGCGGCTGCGGGTGTTGTCTGCCGCTTCAGTTGCAGTTGTTGCTGCTGCTGCTGCAGCAGCGCTTGCTGCTCCACGTCCACCACAGTTGAACTGCGGTGCAGCAGCGCGTTTGTTTCTTGGCTGGCACTCTTCTGTTGATATCTTGCTGCTGCTGCTGTTTTTGCTGCTGCTGCTGCTGTTTTTGCTGCAGTGGTTTGATGAAGATGCAGCAGGAAGAGAAGGTGCAGATCTCTGGGCCTCTAAGTTAGGCATTAGCCGCTGCCACGTCGTGCGTTGTACAGACGAGCTGCTGCAGCACATGCAGCAGCAGCAGCAGCCGCAGCAGGAGCAGCAGCAGGAGCAGCAGCAAGAGGAGGAAGTGCGTATCCCTAAAGACGCTAATGAATGTCTCCTTGCTGGTTTAGATTTAAAAGTTTTGCTGCTCTCCGCGCGTAGAGTGCCTCACCAACAAATTTTAACATTTCAAGACCTCAGGGCCCGAGTGCTGCACGAACTGGTAGAGCCAGGCAAGTTCCTGCTGCTGCTGCTGCGGTTGCTGCTGCTGCTGCTGCTGTGGTTGCTGTTGGGGATGCTGCTGATGCTGCTGCTGCTGCTGCAGTTGCGGTTGCTGCTGCTGTTGTAGTTGTTGCTGTTGGGGATGCTGCTGCTTCTGGTGCTGCTTTTGTTGTTGTTCCTGCTGCTGCTGGTGCTGTTTTTGCTGTTGCTGCTGCTGCTGCTTTTTATGTTGCTCGCTTACCGGATTTATGACTGTCTGCTGTCTTTTGGATCTGCTGCTGCTGCTGCCATTGCTGCTTGCTTCTTGCTGCTGCCACTTGCACTGCATGTGTTGCTGCTGCTTTTGCTGCTGCTGCTTCTGATGCTGCTGCTGCTACTGCTGCTGCTGTTGCTGTTGTTGCTGCAGCAGCTACGCGAGGTCTGCAGAGCGTCACCCTGCCTGCCTTCACCTCTATCTTAGGTGCGAACATACATTAATATATTTTATTTAAAATAGAGTAATAAGACATCAGTATATTTTATTTAAAGCAAAACATAAAGACAGCAAAATACTTTATTTAATATAAAAAACAAAGACATTTATATATTTTTGTTTACAAAAGAATACAAAGACATCAAAATATTTTGATTAATATAGAATAATATACTGTATATACATATAAATTTATATATATATATATATATATATAGCTGCATATATGTTCTAAATATACATATATATATATATATATATATGTATGTACATATGTATAAATATGTATGTATAATCTGTCAATAAATAAATAAATACAGACGTAAAAATATAAACACATACACATAAATATATATATATAACAAATAAATAAATAAATATATATATATATATATATATAAATCATAAAGAAGAGAATGCGAGTATTATAGTTATTTGTGTTGCAGGGGGCTTTCGTCGAGGAGAGTTGAGTGTATGGACAGGGGGTACAGGGACGGGTAAGACTACAGCTTTATCTCAGCTGTCTCTAGACTTCTGCGCTCAAGGCATGCCGACACTTTGGGGGTCTTTTGAGGTTAATAACGTCAGGTATACTGTCTAATACGCTTCTTTATGCTGCTCCTGCTGCTACTGCTGCTACTGGGGATGCTGGGGAGGCTGCAGTTGCTGCTGGGGATGCTGCGCCTGCTGCTACTGCTGCTACTGGGGATGCTGGGGATGCTGCTGCTGCTGCTGGGGATGATGCTGCTGCTGCTGGGGATGCTGCTGCTGCCGCTGGGGACGGTGGGGATGCTGCTGCTGCTGGGGGTGCTGTTGCTGCTGCTGTTGGGGATGCTGCTGCTGGGTATGCTGCTGCTGTTGCTGCTGCTGAAGATGTTGCTGTTGCTGTTGCTGCTGGTGGGGATGTGCGTGGCTGTGTTGGTGTTAATGTTAGTTTGTGGATGTGCGTGTTGCTGCTGCTGCTGCTGCTTCTGCTGCTGCAGGTTATTGCGTATGATGCTGCTGCAGTTTAGCGGAGGAGCAGCAGGAGACAGCCGCAAGAACTTCTCGAGAGTAGCAGATGCTTTCGCTCAGCTGCCCTTGTGGTTAATGCGCTTTCACGGGTCTACTAGTGTTGAGGAGGTGGGCTCAAATAACTCCTCATCTGTCTCCTTTTCTGTCTCCTCATCTGTCTCCTTTTCTGTCTCCTCATCTGTCTCCTTATCTGTCTCCTCATCTGTCTCCTTTTCTGTCTCCTTATCTGTCTCCTTTTCTGTCTCCTTATCTGTCTCCTTATCTGTCTCCTTATCTGTCTCCTTCGCTGTCTCTGTCTGTCTGTCTCTGTCTCTTGTCCTTTCTCATCTCATTTGCTGTCTCTTTCGCTGTCTCTGTCTCTGTCTCTGTCTCCTCTCTCGCTTTCTGTGTCTCTGTCTCGGTCTCTGTCCCTTTATCTATTTTTCTGTCTCCTACTCTGTCTCTGTCTCTGTCTCTTTTTTATGTCTCCCCCTCTGTCTCTGTTGCTGTCTCTTTATCTGTCTCCTTGTCTGTCTCCTTATCTGTCTCCTTATCTGTCTCCTTATCTGTCTCCTTATCTGTCTCCTCTGTCTGTCTGTCTCTGTCTCTGTCTCTGTCTTCTGCTCTGTTTGATAAGGAGAGACAGTTATTTCTTCGTGGCATCCTTTAGCTGCTGCTTCTGCTGCTACTACTACTCCTGCTGCTGCTGCTGCTAATACTATACCGCTACAACAACAACAACTGCTGCTGTTGCTGCTGCTACTACTACTACTACTATGCCTTTGCTGCTGCTAGTGCTACTACTACTACTATACTACTGCATCTGGTGCTGCTGTTTGTGTTGCTGCTGTTGCTGCTGTTTGTGCTGCTGCTGCTGCTGCTGTTGCTGCTGCTGCTGTTGCTGCTGCTGCTGCTGATATAGGTGCTAGATGCAATGGAGTACGCGGTGTATGCACACGATGTGGGGCATATAATAATAGACAACCTGCAGTTTATGCTCTCTAGCCAAGCCAAACAAACAGACCTCTGGGATATACAAAATGCTGCTGTTGCTGCGTTTAGAAGATTTGCAACGCAGCGCAATGTACACCTCTCTGTTGTTGTACACCCCAGAAAAGAAGTACCCTCCAAACCCTAAACCCTAAACCCTAATACTCATAAACCCTCTTAGTATCCTCCAAACCCTAAACCCTATACCCTAATACTCATAAACCCTACCAGTACTCGTAAACCCTAATACTCGTTAAACTCTTATATTCATAAACCCTAGTAGTACTCTTAAACCCTAAACCCTAATACCCTTATATTCATAAACCCTAGAAGTACTCTTAAACCCTAATAGTCATAAACCCTAATAGTCATAAACCCTAATAGTCATAAACCCTAATACCAAACCTCAATAAACCCTCATGAACCTTCCCAAACCCTAATAAACCCTATTAAACCCTCATTAACCCTAGTAATAAACCCTAAACAGCAGACACAGCGATTATCCTGAGATAAGAGCTGAGGTCTCCTCTACTGTTCCCTGCTGCTACAGACAAGGAGGAGACACCTGTGCATAAGCTCTCCATCTTGCGCCACTTGCTGCTGCTGCTGCTGCTGCCGCCGCTGCTGCTGCTGTTGCAGGACGACGATGTGGCTTTGGGTCTGTCTTCTGTCTTTGGAAGTGTAAAGGCAACACAGGAAGCAGATAATGTTATTATTCTGCAGCGGCAAGCAGCACGTGTTGCTGCTTCTCACTCGAGAGCGGAGCAGCAGCAACTGCAGCAGCAGCTGCAGCAGCAGATGCAGCAACTCGCCCCCAGCAGACACAAACAAAGACGCATGCAGTATTCTCTAGAAATTAGAAAGAACAGATTCTCAGGCGAACTGGGATCCGTTCCCTACGTCTTCGATCCCCGATCCCTCCTTATGCGTGTAAGCAGCAGCAGCAGCAGCAGAAGCAGCAGCAGCAGCAGCAGCAAGGAGGAGGTGCAGCATTTGCTTCTGCAGCCTTAAGTGTCTCTCTGTCTCCGTCTGCTGCGCCTGTGCATGCAGACGCGGCAGCTGCTGCCAGAACGCCAAGGAGACAGTGGGGCGCAGCCATCAGAAGCAGCAGCAGCAGCAGCAGCAGATGCTGGCGCACCGAATGCTGCTGCTGCTGCTGCTGGCAGGGTAGGGGACTTCGGACTGAGCAATACATCTAAAGATGCGGCATTTAAAAGGCCGCAAGAACAGCAGCAAACCCTTATGAACATGTAAGGTCAACACCCAGCAGCAGCAGCAGCAGCAGCAGCAGCAAGTGCAGCAGCAAGCGCAGCAGCAATGCGCTGGCTTCTGTATGGGTTGCCTGGCTGTCTCCGTGTCTCTTTTTTGCAGGTTTACGCCTCGAGGACTGTTGACGTCTACAATGGAGACAACAGAAAAGAGACAGAGGGAGCAGCAGCAGTTGGAGTTCAAGCGCCGCCTGCCAACAATAGAAGGGTCTGCTGCTGCTGCTGCTGCTGCTGCTGCTGCTGCGCCTTCCGCTTCCCTCAGATCAACTCCTGCTGCTTCGACGCAAGACAGATCTGCTGCAGCAGCAGCAGGAGCAACAACAGCAGAAGCAAGCCCCGTCTCACTAGCAGCAGCAGGTGGGCCGGAAGCGCCAGCAGCAGCATCAGGAACAGCAGCAAAGACAACAGCAGCAGCAGCAGCAGCTGACGCGATCGAGCTGTCTGAGGAGCTTCCTATATCGCTGCTGCGCGACATTGCTGCTGCATTGCCGCTGCAGCAGCCTATTAAGACAGCAGGGGCTGGGAGAACAAAGCTGCTGCTGCTGGCAGACCTCCAAGCAGCAGCAAACAGAAGCCCCCAAATCAAGGCATGCATTTACCGCATGCTGCAGCAGCACCAGCGCATGCAGCAGCAGCAGCAGATTGCGGACGCTGCAGCAGCAACAAGGTCCACTGACGCCCACGCGCAGCAAGGAGATGCAGCAGCAGCAGGAGCAGCAGCACCTGCTTCTGCTGCCGCAGGCAGCACCCAGGAGCCCCTCTCTCCTGTATATACACCGTTGACTCGTAGCATTCCGCTGCTGCAGTACTTAGAGCAGCACGGCAGCAGCTATGCAGCAGCAGCTCGATCCTATCTTCCTAGCCCCAAAGACACTGCAGCAGCAGCAGCAAACCTTCAAGCCGAGACCCCGCAGGGAGATGCTGCTGCTGCTGCTGCTGCTGCTGCGGCTGGGAGTGCGTCAGGCGGCGCTTCGGATTTAGCAGCTCAGGCTGCAGAAGCAGGTGTCTCCTCTTCGCCTGAAGGAGTCTCCTGCAGCAGCAGCAACAACAGCACCAACAGCAACAACAGCAGCAGCAGCAGCAGCGACAGCGACAGCGACAGCAGCAGCAACAGCAGCAGCAGCAGCGGCAGCAGCGAGGAAGAGGTGTATGTGCAGGTGCCTATAAATGCGATGGACAATCGCCTGTCTGCAGATTTTGTATTGATTGACTCAGCAGCAAAAGCACAGAAAGTGGAGCCGCTGCTGCTGCACTTGCTGCAGTTCCTAGAGAAGGCCAACACGCAGCGACAGCAGCAGCAGCAGCAGCAGCAACAGCAGCAACAGCAGCAGCAGCAGCAGCAGCAGCAGCAGCAGTTGAATCCGGAGTGGCAGCCTGAAGCAGGCAGCTACCGCCAGCCTGAGGGCCTCATTGCGATGGGCTTAGACGTGGAGACGACGGGGCTCGATCCCAGGACCGCTCAACTAAGGTCATTCAAGCACAGCAGCAGCAGCAGCAGCAGCAGCAGCAGCAGAGTAGCAGCAGAGCAGCAGTAGCTGCTGCTGCAGCTGCTGCTGCAGGGGAAGCAGTAGCAATATTTCGAGCAACGACAACAGCAATAGTAGCGCCTCCTTGAGCAGGAGCAGCAGCGATAGCACAAATGGGACCATCACCAGCAGCAGCAGCAGCAGCAACAGCAGCATAAGCACCAGCAGCAGCATGTGCAGCAGCAGCGGGATAAGGCTTTGCTGTTTGTTGTGTATGTTTGTTTGCTGCAGATTGGTGCAGGTGGCTCTGCCTGAGCTTCCTTGCTTGATGTATGATATGTGGAAGCTACCTGTCTCCTCGCTGCGGGGTTTGCTGCTGCTGCTGCAGTCTCCTCTTATAACTAAAGTAATGCACAACGGCAAATTCGATCTCAGCTTCCTCTCTCACTTCCTCCTCACTCTCCAGCAGCAGCAGCAGCAGCAGCAGCAGCAGCAGCAGCAAGATGGTGGAGGTGCCGTTGAGAGTTCTCCTGCTTTGGCTTTCCTCACTGCCCCCAGCAGCAACAACAGCAGCAGCACCAACAGCAGCAGCAGCAGCAGCAACAGCACCACCATAACCACCAGCGGCACCAGCACCAGCAACAACAACAGCACCAGCAGCAACAGCATCAGCAGCAGTACCATCAGCAGCACCAACAGCAACAGCAGCAGCAGCAGCAGCAGCAGCAGCAGCAGCAGTGAGTATGTGCAACGCGTGATGCGTGCGATGGGGGGCGTGAGCCCACCATACTTTGACACCCTCTTAACCAGCAGATTGTTAGAGGCAGGACAGATACACCGGGGCTTCTCTCTTGCACAAGTTTGTGAACGAAGTCTGCAGCTCTTCTTAGATAAACGCATGCAGTGCAGCAATTGGCTGGCCAATACACTTAACGAAGAACAACTCCTCTATGCAGCAAGGTCAACCCCAAACCCTAAACCCTAATAAACCCTAATAAACCCTTACAAGCCCTGATAAACCCTAATAAACCCTAATAAACCTTAATAAGCTATAATAAACCCTAATAAACCCTAATAAACCCTAATAAACCCTAATAAACTTTAATAAACTTTACTAAACCCTTATAAACCCTTACTAACCCTTATAAACCCTTATAAACCCTTATAAACCCTAATGAACCCTTATAAACCCTAATAAACCCTAAAGCAAGGACAATGCCTGCTTAACATGAAATAGTGCATGCGCTAATGCAAAAATGCTGGTGCTGCAAATGCTGCTGCTGCTGTTGATGCTGCTCTCACTGCTATTGCTGCTGCTGCTGCTGCTGCTGCTGCAGGGATGCTGCAGTTCTCCTCCCTCTGCATGATTGTTTGAGCCGTCGACTGCGGCAGCATCAGCTGCTGCGAGTAGCAGACCTTGAACACCGCACTCTTCCTGCAGGCACGCTGCAAACTCTAAACCCTAAACCCTAAACCCTAGTTCGTGGGTTGTGGTGGATTGGAGTATTTTTCCGGTCCCTTGTTGCCTTAAAGCAAGATCAAATATGCCTTGCTTCTGCTGCTGTTGCTGCTGCTGCTGCTTTACTGCTGCCGTTGCTGCTGCTGCTGCTGCTGCTGCTTCTTTTGCTGCTGCTGCTTTTGATGCAGTTGTTTCTATGGAGAGGACGGGTATGGCGCTTGATGCTGCTTGCTGGGAGCGGCTTGCGGATCGTCTCCGAAGGGAGCAGCAGGAAGCAGCAGACTCGCTGCTGCAGCAGCTAGGGGAGACAGCAGAAACGCTAAACCTCAATTCGCAGAGACAGATGCTGGAAGCCCTGAGGCGTGTCGGTGTCTCTCATGCTCCTGGGGCGCAGCAGCGGCCGCCACCTCCCAAGCCAGCAGCAGCAGCAGCAGCAGAAAACGAGGACTCCACCACATCCGCAGCAGCAGCAGCAGCCGCAGCAGCAGCAGCAGCAGCAGCAGCAGCGGATAGGGACCCGTATGCTTTAAGAGACACTGGGGATGAAACCCTCAGTCGATTGACGCACTTCCCTGCTGTTGCTGCTCTACGCAACTTCCGAAGGGTCTCCAAAGCTGTCTCTGCCTTTGTAGAGAGACTGCCTCTTCATATTAATCCTGCAACAGGTAGATAAAAGTAAAGCTGTCTCCTCCTGTCGGTCTCTTTCTCTCTGTCTGTCTCTCTCTGTCTCTCACCGTCTCTCTGTCTCCCTCTGGGCCCTTGTCTTTGTCTGTCTCCTCCTGTCTCTGTCTTTCTGTCTGTCTCCTTTTGTCTGTCTCCTTTCTTCTCCTGTCTCTTTCTGTCTGTCTCCTTTTATCTGTCTCCTTTTGACTGTCTCCTTTTGCCTCCCTATATCTCCTGTTGTCCCTCTCTCTTTCTCTCTTGTTTTTCTTTCTCCGTTTATTTTTGTTTCTTTCTGTCTCCTCCTGTCTTCTTGTGTCTCCTTTTGTTTCCTTTTGTCTCCTTTTGTCTTCTTGTGTCTCTTTCCGTCTTCTTTTTTCTGCTGCTGTTTTATTCTCTCTCATTTTGTCTCCTTTTGTCTCCTGCTGGGCGACGAAGTAGATGGTTTGCTGCTGTCTCCTCACCTCAAACCCAAACCACCTTTAGCAGCAGCAACAGCAGCAGCAGTAGCAGCAGCAAAAGCAATGCCAACAGCAGAAGTAGTGGCAGCAGCAGCAGCACTAGCAGCAGACGCAGCAGCAGCAAGAGCTGCAGCAGCAGCTGCAACAGAAACAGCACCAGCACCAGCAGCAGCAACAGAAACAACACAAGCACTGGAAGCAGGAACAATCGCCCCAATGCCAGCAGCAGCAGCAGCAGCAGCAGCAGCAGGGTGTATTGGGAATGCATGCCTTTTTTGCTGCTGGGGATTGATCGCTAACGAGTCTCCTTCTTGCTGCATTTGTTTGATGTTGTTATTATTTATTGCTATTGCTGCTTGTGATTGTATTTCTTTATTCCTCTTACTGCTGCTGCCGCTGCTGCTGCTGCTGTGGGTTCGGGTGTATACGCAGGTCGCATTCATGCACAGCTGCATCAGTGTGGGGCTGGCAGCGGCAGGTTTTCTTGCGATTCTCCAAATCTGCAGCAAATACCCAGAGAGGCTTCCTTTCGTCGCTGCTTCGTTCCTGCTGCTCCGCTGCTGCTGCAGCAGCAAAGCCCCGCCTTCGCAGCCGCTCCAGCAGCAGCAGCAGAAACAGCAGCAGCAGAAACAGCAGCAGCAACAGCAGCAATACCAGCAACAGCAACACTAGAAACAACACAGGCTGCTACTCCAGCAGAAACAGCAACACCAGCAACAACAACAGCAGCACAAGAAGGAGCAGCAGCAACGCCAGCAACAGCAGCAGAAGCAGCAACAGCATCACCAGCAACAACAACAGCAGCAGGAGACGCAGCAGAAGCAACACCAGTACTACCAACAGGAACGCCAGCAGCAACGCCAGCAGCAACGCCAGCAGCAACGCCAGCAGCAACGCCAGCAGCAGCAGCAGCAGCAGCAGCAACAGCAGCAACAGCAACAGGAGAGAAGTGGAAATATATTATTGCAGATTTCTCACAAATTGAATTGCGCATTGCTGCGGATATCGCTGGAGACGAAAAGATGATAGAAGCCTACAAACAGGTTTGCTGCTGCTGCTGCTGTCTGCTGCTGTCCCCATGGCCGGCTGCAGCAGCATCAGCAGCAGCACCTGCTGATGCTGCTGCTCTCTTGGCTCGCCTTCCCGCTGCAGCTGTCTGCTGCTGTTGCTGTTGCTGTTGCTGCTGCAGCACTGGAGAATGCCAGCAGCTTTGCTGCTCCATCCGATTTTTTGCTGCTGCTGCTGCACCTGCTGCTGTTGCTGCTGCACCTGCTACTGCTGCTACAGCGTCAGCTATAGTTGCTGCAGCAGCAGCAACTATAGCTGCAGCAGCTGTGCCAGCAGGATATGTAGCTATGTTTGTGCTGCTGCTGCAGGGACGCGACTTGCATCGGCTAACTGCGTCTTTGCTGCTGTCTAAACCAGAAGAGGAATTAACAAAAGGAGACAGACAGCTCGCGAAGGCAGTAAACTTTGGCCTCATCTATGGTACGCACATACACTGCTGCTGCACTTGCTGCTGCTGCTGCTGCTGCTGCTGCTGCTGCTGCACCTTCTGCTGTTGCAGCACTTGTTGCTGCAATAGTCGCTGCTGCAGTAGTTGCTGCAATGGGGAAAACAGAGACAGGAAGAGACAAAGAGAGACAAAAGGAGACAGAAGGAGACAGAAAGCGACAGACAAACAAAGAGAAGGAGACAGAAAGAGACAGAAGAGACGCACAGAGACAGAGAGAGATAAAGAGAGACACCAAGAAATGCATATATACAATGAGGAGGTGTACAGAGACATAAGAAAACAAAAATAGAGACAGGAGGAGACACAACCTGCATGAAAAGGAGACAGAAAGAGACAGAACGAAGCACCAACAGAAGAGAAGAGACTGCTGCTGCTGCTGCTGCTGCTGCTGCTTGTGCTGCTGCAGGTATCAGTGTGCAGCGCTTCCGCGAATATGCGTTTTCTGCATACGGTGTCTCCTTGTCTCTTGAAGAGGCGCGTCTCTTTAGACAGAACTTCTTCAGACATTATAAAGGCATTACTAACTGGCATCAGCGGCAAAAGGTGTGTCTGCATGCATGCATGCAAACAAAAGCCCCAAACTCCTGCTGTCGTTATATGTTTATGTTGTGGGGAAGCAGCAGCAACGCCATTATCGTGCTGCTGCTGCTGCTGCTGCTGCTTGTGCTGCTGCTGCTTCGCCTTTTGCTGCTTATGCTGCTGCTGCTTGGACTGCTGCTGCCTGTGCCGCTGTTGTTATGACCTGTGTTTCTGCTGCTTCTTCTGCTGTGCTTACTGTTGCTGCTGCTGCTGCTGCGGCTGCTGCTGCAGCATTTGATGCCTTTGGAGACGAGGACTCGTTCTGGGCGCCGCGCCTTCTTTGACTCTTTCTCCTTTACAAAGGCCCTCAACTACCCCGTGCAGGTACCCACCTCTGTTGCTGCTGCTGTTGCTGCTGCTGCTGCTCGTGCTGCTGCACTTTATCTCTACTGCAGAAGTGTAGCAGCAGTTGCAGGGGTGTGCAGGTGGCTGGGGCGACTCCACGGGGTGTATTTGTGTTTCTTTGGTGGGGTTGTTGCTCATATATATATGCATGCGTAAATGTATATACATAAATATATATATATGTTATTTGTGTGTCTGTAGGGTACATCTGCTGATATAACGAAGGAAAGCCTGGCGCTGCTGCTGCCGCGGCTGCAGGAGGTAGAGGGGGAGCTGGTGATGTGCGTACATGACGAAGTAATTGTGCAGCTGCCAGAGAGACATCAAGAAAGGGTTTGTCTCCGCACCTCAGCTGTCTCCGCACCTCAGCTGTCTCCCCACCTCAGCTGTCTCCCCACCTCTGCTGTCTCCTCACCTCAGCTGTCTCCCCACCTCAGCTGTCTCCTCAACTCAGCTGTCTCCCCACCTCAGCTGTCTCCCCACCTCAGCTGTCTCCCCACCTCAGCTGTCTCCGCAACTCTGCTGTCTATATATATATGTATATATATATATATGTATTTGTCTCTCACGCTGTCTCCTCAGGGGCTTCAACTGCTGCTGCAGACGATGAAGGAGGCGGGGGCTCTGTACCTGAGGAGGGTCCCTTGCGAGGCAGAGGGACGCATAGGGGACTCATGGGCAGACAAACCCTAAACCCTAAACCCTAAACCCTAAACCCTCGAGATAAAGACAGGTTAACGAGGAGTGGTTATTTTATCTTCAATTTACCCCGCCAAACACCAACACCCAAAAAGAATCAACAGACAAACCCTGCATTCCTATATATATATATATATATATATATA